ACGTACCATGTTTATCGTACTATTTATGTATATTTTAACCACCTAAAATGTATAAAACTGTTACCATTTTTAGGGTTATTTTTGTTTGTTTTTAGTATGCTACTGATGAAGTTTATTGAGTGCTGTTTCTCTAACCCCTGTTTTGGAATGAGTCCTGTGGGATATCCTGCTCAATTGTTTAGTGTAATGATTTTTAGGAACATATGTCATCTTGTAACAAAACTTATGGTATTGAGTGTCAATAAGAGTTTCAATGGGAGTTATAAATACTTTATAATAAGTAATATTTATTGAATGAGTGCTATGTTCTATGAATTTTACCTGTATTAGTTATCTGATTTAACGTAATCCTAAAATGATCCTGTGGGTGTGATTATTTTCCCTGTTTTATGATGGAGACAACTATGATTTAGAGAGAGAACTTATTCTCAACCACAACGCTAATAAACAGTTGAAATTTAAAACCCAGCTCTCTGAGAATGCAGATGCCACTTCAGACAACACTGGGCAAACTCAGCAATAGCCAAACTGTGCTAAGTGCAACAGGACTTGTATTCAGAGAGACCAGCAGCCATGTGCTCACCTGCCTGTCACTAATTAAGACCATAAAGCTTGGGAACTGGACTGCCTTGCAGCCAAATCTAGGTTCCACTGCTTACTGGGTGCATATCACTGAACAATGACTTAAACTTTCTATATTTCAATGTTCTAATCTGAAAAATGGAATTCAATTATAGTAAAATAGCTAACATTCATTGGGCACTTATTATTAACCTCAAAACAATCTATGATATAAATATTTTCCCATTTCTACAAATGACAAAACTTGGGCTTAGAAAGTAAAAAAACAAAACAAAACACTTGATTAAAGTAGCACAGGTAACAGGAGTGAAGCTGGATTTAAATTTGTCTGCTAAACTCCAGACACTTGCCTTCTTAACCACTGTTGAACACAACCCCCAATAAACTTTATCCTGGCTGTCTCTGAGGATTGAGGGAGAAACTATCTGTAAATTACTTAGTGATGTGCCCAGTCTATGATATTAATTTAATAAATGAAGTCCATTATTATTACCATTGACACTTAGCCAAGAACATAAGTAATTATAATACAAGGAAGAATGTAAGTATTTGAAAAGTACAAAAAAAAGAAAAAAGAAAGAAAGATGTCAAGGAAATTCAAAAGAAGAAGAAATGACATTTGTAAAGAAAACCATTCTTCAAGGAGGAGACAGCATTTTTTAAAAAACGTGATCTTGACAGACAGAGATGAGGGAGGGTAATACATGTGGCAGGATCAGCGGAGACCAGAAAACACAGAGAGCGATTGTGTGGCCCATTTGCAGAGCACAAAGCAGCTGTTGGCCATAGCTGATGATATGCATAGGGCGGGTGGGGATGAGAAAGGCAGACCGCTGGAGCCTCCCTGGAGAGGGGTTCCTACTGCAGGCTGAGCCATCCTTACTAAACGTAGTGCACAACGAGGAGTCAGTGTCAGTTCTTGAGCTGGGAGGCAATATAAGCAAGCTTGTGCAGTGAAAAGATCTGTCAAGGATTACAGCAGAGAGTGACTGAAGGTGTGGGCAGGGCAGTGCCTGAGTCACCAGATGCCACCCCTGCCGGCTTCTAGGTGAATGTAGGTTTTCCTAATAAGCACATTCCTGGGCAACTCTTTGAACTGAGAGTCTATGGTTTATGAGGTTTGCAGTACAAGGGGGCCCTCTACAGGCTGCTTGATGATTAGACTTAGGGAAATTGACATGAGGAAAGATTAAAATTAAACCAAAGCAGCAAGTTTGCAGACTTAAAGGCACTTAGGAACCTGTAGTGGCAGCCTAAGCATCAGCAGCAGTTGAGTATTAAGGCATGTTCCTTCTAACCAAAGTTACAGAAGATATAGAGCACTGGCCTAAAGAAAATAGGACCACAGCTCTGTATCTTATTTTTCAAAAGAAGCTGGATTTTTACAAATAGTAAAACAGATTGGTTTTAAAATGTGGGCTTAATTTAAAACAAACATCATGAAAGCCAAAGTAAATATGTCTGTGGACTGGATCTGCTTATAGGCCTCATATTTCCAATGTACAACTTCCAACCAGGAAGGGAATGTGGAGGTCATCTTTAGAGTCTAACTTTTCCACTTAACAAGTAAGGATATCGCATCCAAAGGATCCCAGTAAAGTTCAAATCACACAGCCAGACTAGCATACAGGTCATTTAATGACAAACTATTGCACAGATTTTTAAAAAATGTTATTTTGCAATTTTTTTTCGTAAGCTGAACCACCACTACTTACTGCTTTTCTGCAAGGTGCATGTGGGGCTGAGGTAGGATTGAGGATAATGTGGAGAGAAGGGGGTTGATGAGATTTTACGGTAGACATGAAAAACACTTGGATTCCTCATTCCTCATTACATAAAAAACCTGAGTCAAGTATGTCTCTATAAAGCTAAGAAATATTGGGAAATAGCCTGTAGCCAAGGGTTACAGGCTGGATTAGATTATTTCCAATATTCTCTAGGAATATTGGGTACAGGCTAGAGTAGAATGTTCTCACTATTCCAAGAGGGTACTCTAAGAGAATATTCCTCATTCCTTGAGTCATGAGGATAAGCCAGCGTTCCTTTACAGTATACAGTCTGTCCCTAGATGTGCACTCAACTGTCAGCAGGCACTTGACATTGATCTGACTCCACCCTGAGGATGTTATACATATCTTAATAATTTGCAGATGACAGCAGAGTATTTTTGTGATTGATCCATGACAAAGATTATTATTTTGTATATTTTAAGAAAAGAACTTTCTTCAATTGCATACTAATCACTTGGGCATAACTTTAAGCTCACCAATAAATTAACCCCCCAGCTCTAATTTTTTCATAAAATATTGGGAAGCATTATCATAAAGAACTTAGATGTTAGATGAAGATCTCTGACATCAGATGCAACTGGTTGAGCTCAGTCCCTGTGATCCTGAACAAGTGATTGCCTTCTCTAAGCCTCAATTACACACAAGCGTGGATTAATTAAAATAATTCAATTAATGCTTCAAACATTGTAAGTGTTCATAAATGGTTACCGGATTACATTATTGCTTCAACTTGATTTGTTAAGGAACTTAATATTGAATCAATATTTTAGTGTGATTTTAAAGATGTAGAGATGCCTTTTTTCAAAAAGATGTGAAGCTTAATTAATGCCATCTTAAACATCAGTAACACTGCTTGTTTGAAACCTAGTTGACTGTGGACTTAACCAAATTTTACTCTGGATAACTCATGCCCCAATAATATCTGAGACATAAAAATGACAAAGAAAGGCATGAGTTATTTAGATGAGACCTGAGTGAACAATTCAATTCTCCTTCTTACCATATAATCACATTTCCAATCTTTATGAGCTGTTTCTTTGGAAGCTGTGGGTGTTCCCAACAATCTGGAACATCCATCACGTTTAGTTTTGGAAGAGAAATAAAATAAATGATGGGACACATGTATTCACATGGATATTCTCAAGAGGTCTAACCTTAAAATTATTGGACAATTAACTGCTTATACTCTGAGCTGGGTGGGCATTGATTGATTGAATAATTAATAAAAATAAAATAATTAATAAAAATGCACAATTTGGAAGAGACATTTCTGAATGTGCTACGGAATAGGTCTGAGACAAAGGTTTGGACAAAAATGTGGGCTCACCCAGATTAGCAGTGCTAGACACTGACAAATTAAGTTTCAACATTTATAGTTCATCTTGGCAGCTGCTCACGTCCTGATGTCATGCAGCCACGATGTAATCGAAGAGTGAAGTTTTGCAACAGAGGGATTTTGGTAACCCCTCCCATGAGTATGGGTTGTAGGATATCAATATTTATATCACTTCACAGAAAGCATGTTACATTTTGTAATGCAGAGCCATTAAATGGCTTCTGCATGGTCCTCTGCATAGATAAGTTGTCCTCGTGTTTAACATCAAAAGTTAAATTGCTGATGTTTGTCTTGTTATTTTCTTATGACTTTTTTCTCAATTAAATATAATGAATGGAAATCTTGACATCACCAAAATGAACATGTTAAAATTAAAGGATTATATTTGTATTATGCCAGGAAAGACTAAAAGATGAACTATGTTATAATTTTATCCTGTTCAAACTATGAAAACACAACTATACAAAAAGCTACTTTGAGGAAAGAGAATACAATGACAAGTAATTTTACTTTTTTGCAAATTTACTGGCTCCAGAATGGTTGAGATCATATTGTGTGCCCCATCCTCATTATACTCTAACATGCTAAATAATAAAGCACTCATTAATATTGATGACTAAGGATGTGTTCTCAGATAATTGAAGGATAGACAAAGGGAGGAGACAAAATGGGGAATGAAAGAAATTGATGAACCCCTTGGCTAGTGTAATGTAGTTAAAGATGCCAGAAACATGTTGGCATTTGTTTGTTAAATGATCCACCCCGACTTAATGATACATTGATTGATAGCTGAAAGTGTACTTCTGAAGGACAAACTACCGGTAGGCTCCTTTCATGATCTTCTTGCATATAGAAAAAAAAAAAGATGTAACAATTTGCAAATATCGCATTCTTAGGCATTTTCCTACCCTAGTTCTGCTTATGTACTTAAATATTGCCAGATGTGGCTCTAGCTTCATAGGAATATCAGAGATTTCTTCCTACGAAATTAATGGTAGGAATTACAGGTTCACAAGATTGTTTTATATGAAATATTAGGGCCGGGCACGGTGACTCATGCCTGTAATCCCAGCACTTTGGGAGGCCGAGGCAAGCAGATCACAAGGTCAAGAAATCAAGACCATCCTGGCCAACATGGTAAAACCCCGAATCTACTAAAAATACAAAAATTAACTGGGCATGGTGGTATGTACCTGTAATCCCAGTTACTCGGGGGGCTGAGGTAGGAGAATCGCTTGAACCCGGAAGGCAGAGGTTGCATTGAGCTGAGATTGTGCCACTGCACTCCAGCCTAGTGACAGAGCAAGACTCCATCTCAATTTAAAAAAGAGAGAGAAAAGAAATATCATAAACAGATGGTTATCGTAAACCACATTCAGTTTCTCTACAATCTCACAGGGTGGGCTTTATGTTGTTAGTAAGTACTATTCTATTGGTGAAAAAAGTTGAATCTCTGTGAGAATTTCTTTTAGTTAACATTTTGGTTTTGCAACTTGAGGATTTTAATTCTCTTCCTGATGTTCTAACTTTAATTACATTGTGTTTATAATTTACAAGTGTAGACAACAAATATTTAAAACTTTTAAGGTTATCACCCCTCCAGACTCTAGCATTAATTTCTTTCTCCTTGTGTCAGGAGGCAGTTCTTAATTAATTACAGGCAATCCTGTATTGTTTCTTCCCATACTCTCCCCAGCTCTTTTAAATCTTTTTGAAATAGGAAGAGAATCGCTTTCTAGGTGTGGTCTGTCACTGGAGTCACTGGGAGGAAACTTCATTGCCCCACTCCTTGGTATGATGTAAGCTTTGCATACTGTGTGAGAACATTCAGAAAGTGCTGACTGCAATCCATTTGCATTAAATTTCTTCTGAAGGAAAAACAAAACAAGTTAAATACCTTTTACTCAAAGGAAAGCAGAATTTAAAGTTTGGTTTAGGAATGAATAAAAAACTGTTATTTAATGTAAATAAAAGGCTTGTTGCTGGACTGCCATTGCAAAAATACTCAAGTTTGATCCTCTTTTCACCACTCGTGATCAAAAATGTCTTGCTTATCTACATCACAAATGGGAAAAAAAAGAGTCCATTGTTTTAAATTGAACCTTAAAAAATGACAGCTATTATTACTCTTTAATATTTTATATTTCCTTTAACAATAAATTATTATTTTACAAACTAAAATATACACCTAAGATAATATCCAGTGGTGTGTTTCAGGGTTAGAGGTGGGGCTGAGGTCCATCTCAACATGCTGATGTTGAGGATTTCACTGGCACTACAGATTTGGAAAAAACATTTTCTTCTTTTCATTGTCAAGTTTTAGAGCTACAATGGTCTTGTCGAATATGAAACCAAAGCCCAAATAAATTGAGCAACCTGCATAAGACTGTTCGAATTAAATGGCAGAAATATAACTAAGAGGAAGGATACTGATTTTTTTTTTTTTTTTTTGAGATGGAGTTTCACTCTTGTCGCCCAGGTTGGAGAGCAGGGGCACCATTTCGGGTCACTGCAACCTCTGCCTCTCAGGTTCAAGAGATTGTCCTGAGTCAGTCTCCCAAGTAGTTGGGATTACAGGCCAGTGCCACCACGCCCAGCTAATTTTTGCATTTAGTAGAGACAGGGTTTCACCATGTTGGTCAGGCTGGTCTCAAACTTCTGACCTCAGGTGATCCATCTGCCTCGGCCTCCCAAAGTGCTGGGAGTACCGACGTGAGCCACCGCGCCCAGCCTGGACACTGATTCTTAGTTATTTCAACTGTGACTCCATTTTTTCCTCTCCATGTGCAAATTTGTTAACAAGTGTTCAAAATTGATAAAGTTTTCACATGCTGTGGGCTGGTGAAAAACTTCTATGTTCTGTTCTTCAGTTTCTATTTTAGGGCCAATTGTAGACTTTTATTCAGTAGGAGACTTCAAGGATTTCTGTCCAAACGAATGGTTACCAGGTAATTCCACAGATAACTGGAAGAAGGATGAACAAAAGCATTATGGACCAATGAGTCCAACACAAAGTTTTATAATCTATGTAGAAATGGAGATCCTTTGCCTACTCCAGACTTGATATCCAGAGAGCTTCAGTCTTCAGAAACTCTTTAGCTTATTCCATATTTCACATATAAAGGCTGTATATTTGTCACAAGCTGTGTATGATTTGTATTTGCCTTGGACATTCCATTCTCTTTTCAGCGGCTTAGATTTAAGACACGTGTTTGGTTCACTTGAGGTACCTTAACACTGATTTGCTTTTAGTCACCATGAAAACAACAAGTTTGGGATAAGGTTCATTGAGCAAATAGAGAGGCCCATCTAGGTGGTAAAAAACGCTGGGTAGTAGAACATGAAGAACCCAAATGAGGCATTGCTTTGGCTTGCTGCAAAGCTGATTATTAGTCCCATGAAAATTCATACCTGACACAGTCAGGAGCATGAAACTCAGTCTTTCTGTAGTGAGAATAATAACCATACAACAACAACAACAAAAGAGTGAAACTATGAAGTTGACTTCTGCCACTGCAGCTTGTTCACTTGACTTCCATCACTCCTTCATGATGGGAAAGTCTACAGGCCAACGCTGAATTTCATCATCTCATTTCATTGTGATCCCAAATTTTATTATGTTCAAGTCTAGTCAGCTTGACAAGTTTTGTTGTTTCATCTGAAAACTTTAATTTTGGGCCCACTGATCTCTGCAGATGCCTTGATGAAAACTCCTTATAAAGGCCTCACAGTGGTTGTCTCCCTCCAGAACAGACATTGTAGGGCGATTTCAATTTTAGACACCTGAAACAGAGCATTGGTTTCCATATGAATTTGACTATGGTTCATACAGGCATTGAAGCTTATACATAAATACAACCTACAGCAGTTGCTCTTGGTGTCCCACCCAGATCCCCTTCACCCATCAGTAAACCCATCCCTCAGCAGCTGTGGGCATTAACAGGCTCATGACGGCAGTCTTCTTCCAAGGTCTGCCCATGGTTAACAGAGTGCCTTGCCAGGAGATTCCTGGGAGATTACAAGTCCCTGTTCCTTACACCACATGAACCCATGATTGAATAATATGGGATACTGAACTCAGATGCCTCATCTCCTTGGGAGACGTCTACACTGCTATTCACATTCTAGATCTCTCTGTGGAATCAGGCCAGGGCTACACTTCGGTTAAAGCCACATCTTTGCTTAGCTTCTTCTTGTGCTCCATCTGCCTTCCTTACTTTATTACAGGTTTTACCTTAGAGTACCCCATCAACCAATCACATGCACAGCAATCTCCATCTGAAGGCTCTGCTTCTAGGAAATCTGACCTCAGACAGCTACCATAGTAATGTGGAAAAGTCTTACCTCCTCCTCCCCCTCATTATTATTATTATTTTTAGGTCTCTTAGGCAAATCTACAACTGATATAATGGAGATTTGATTCTCTCTAAGATGCATATGTTAAGCAAAACAAACTTTTATAATTTTGACAGGTAGTTTTAGTCATTTAAAAATGATAACTTATTAGAGTGCAGCAAGGGAAATAATGTGTTTGTATTTTTGTGTTAGGATATCTCACTTTATTTCTTGACTTTACCTTAGTTACATGGATTTGAGGAAAAATTACTCGTGGAAAAACAAGAAATAAGAATGGATATGTAAATAATTTATAATTATTTGTAGATCAAGTTTATCTTCTTAGGTTTTTAGCAGGAGACTGTGCCTTCTGAAGATATGCCCAGTTGATGTCTGCGAAGAAATGGCCAACGACTGTCACACATTTTTATTCAGTTTTTACTTGTTTCTTGATTTTATTTCCCTCAACAAAATATTTACTCAGTGTCTGCTGTGTGCTAAGCACAGTGTAAGGCACTGAATATATGATTTTGAACAAGACATATTTATTCCATGCTTTCTTGTGGCCTGCTCTCCTCCTCATTTATAATTTTATTGTGGGCAGACAGAGATTAGATGAAGGGAGGCTGTAAGTTTAAACTCTCCTATTAAAATTGAAGGTAAATTTTACCACTCATCTGGGTTTATATATCACATAGAAACATGCCAGATTTATAGCTCTTTTTTAATTAAAAAAATTTACATGTCAATGCCTGGCACATTATAGGGGCTGAATAAATATTTGTCAAATGAATGTATACGAAGTGACTTAATGTTTTGTCTTGTTCATACCTCTTTCTTATATAGCAGTAAAAAACAGCAAGAAAACCGCTTAATAGTAATCCAACACCAATCCCAATTGCAATGTATTTTTCGTAAGAATCCATAGCATATGAAGTTAAAGTCAAGTGCTCACACCTTTCTCCAGTATAACCAGTAAAACACCTAAAAAAAAGAAAAAAAGTTTAATTTAAAAATCTATGATGATAGAAATACAAATAAATACCCTGTTTCAATAAATTTTAAAAAATAAATGGAAATAAGGAATTTAAATTAAAGAGGGAAACACCAAATGAAAGCCAACCTGTTAAAGGCAATGAAGCAGCTATGTATTTTTCAGTAATCCTTAAGGCTCCATATTTTCCCTTCATTGGTAGAGGGGAAAGATTGTATACTTGCATAATTTATTCTAGAAAAATCATTAGCTTATTATTCCATAAGACAATACTGAGCAAATCAATGATCATAAAAATATTATCTTAGTTGCTCTAGAACTTCATTTTCCTGAAATGTTTTTGCGTTAGTTTGCTTCATATCATCCTGAAAATGACCCCAAAACTTAAAATCACTTTAGCATGTTGTTAAAAATGCAGATTCTGATTCAGTAGTTCTGGGGTAGAGCATAGATTCTGCATTTCTAACAAGCACTCAGGTTCAAGAGATGCTGCTAATCTGGGAACCATGTTTCTGGTTAATGAGGATTAAATAGTTTAGACAAAAGACTCCGTAGATATTCAAATATGAAGAGGCCTGTTGAGTTATGTTCAGATTATGCACCCTTTTTACTAAAGAGAGAAAAGTGTGGAAATGTACTATGTGAAGCAACAGAGGCATAAACTCATATCCTGTCTCTAGGACTTGGAAATTTATTTGCATTTACCTGCAGATAGCTTTCTCTAGCTCATGGTGGAATGCACAAGCACCGTTGATGCAGTAGCTGTTATGATCTTTCAGGCAAGAGTGTGAGAGCTGCAAAACTATGGGTCCTTCTATGTTGTCAGCTAAGAAAAGGAGATACAATATTAACAAATGAAGTGTGTCTTATGGTAAATTTTTTATACATATGTAAATAAATTTTTAATTTTAAGGATATTTGAGGGGTGCTGTGTCCTTTAAACTATTAATTCTCTTAGCAGATTGTATTCACAAGGGTTGGGTTAATATCATCTAGTCATATTAATTAGGGGAAGGAGGTGGATCCATGATTGTTTCATTTTTTAAAGGCAGCATAGTAAGATAGAGAGGCAACAAATTCACCAAAAGGTGGCAGCACTGATTCTAGTCTTAGGTTGTTTTGAGCAATTCTTCCCAGGCTTGTGTCTGAATGCAAGTTAATATAGATCTTGGCTGGGCTCAGTGGCTCACGCTTGTAGACCCAGCACTTTGGGAGGCCTAGGAGGGCGGATCATGAGGCCAAGATATCAAGACTAGCCTGGCCAACATGGTGAAACCCTGTATCTACTAAAAAATACAAAAATTAGCTGGGCATGATGGTGCATGCCTGTAGTCCCAGCTACTCGAGAGAGGGAGGCAGGAGAATTGCTTGAACCTGGGAGGTGGAGGTCGCGGTGAGCCGAGATTGCACTACTGCACTCCAGCCTGGGTGACAAGAGTGAAATTACGTCTCAAAAATATATGTGTCTGTGTGTGTGTGTGTGTGATCTCATAATATTTCTATTTTCCCCCTTTACACCTGGGAAGTCAGCACTTGGGAAGATTTGAATTTACACCTGTGAGATGATAAACAGGATTATTATTCCTGGTTCTCTGGTGTACAAAAGACATACCTATAACATTGTTGGTGTTTATGCAGTGGGAATGAGCCTTGGGTAAAATTGCATAATTGAATCCTTTGGGGTATACTTTATTGATTCTTAAATTTTTCTCAAACAGAATTAATGCCATTTTATTTGTCATTTTTAGAAAATATATATTTCCTCATCATAATGATAAAGCTATACTATATTTGCCTTGCTAACATTAAGAGAATCTTGTTTATAGGGAAAAAAAAACAGTTTGAAAAGACATTCTTTTTTATATTAAAAATACTAAATATGTAGATGTTAAGATTACAAACAAGATATATTGTATTACTTTATTTTGGTTGAGAACACACATTACCTTAAAATTCATGTTCATTTTGTTGAATGTGATGATATAATGTATCATTTTAATAATTATCAGGCAGTGAGAATTTTCCATCATAAACTGTGCTGGGTGCTTTCTATTTCAAGACTAAACAAGTTCGATTAACTAAGCCCTAAACAGAATTTGCTAGAAGAATGTGAGAATTAAGCCATTATAAAGAAAAGGTGTACCAGAGAGACTTATCTTTCCCCTAAGAATGAGAAGAATGAGAATATTAATCATAACTTTTATAAAAATTTTTCTAAGATACTAGATTGAGATTTTTAAATTAGATAAAAAGCAAAAGGAAAAATTAAAGTTATCCATCAAGAAAGCAAAGGAAAAATATAGAAATGATATACAGCTGTGCTTCTGTATTCATAGGTTCCACATCCATGGTTTCAACCAACCTCATATGGTAAATATTTGAAAAAATGCATGTGTACTTATGTTGTACAGACTTATTTTCTTGTCGTTATTCCCTAAACAATGCAGTATAAGAACTATTTATATAGTGTTTACAATGCTTAGGCATAACTAATCAAGTGATGATTTAAAGTACATGGGTATGTGTCTCTAGGTTATACACAAATATTACGCTATTTTATATAAGGGATTTGAGCATCTGTGGATTTTGGTACCCTCTGGGCAGGAGGAGAAGGTCTTAGAACTAATGCCTGGTGGAAAATGAAGGATGACTGTATTGACTTCCTTTTTTCCATTGTTATTACTTGTAACTCAAAAAATTTTACTTGCGGTTTACCATTAAGGAAGAAAAATAGTACTGAGCATGCCATTATGAAGTTAGTCATTGAGAGAAAACTAAGCTTCTTTAATTTTCTGCAGTGTACTATATATATATATACACACATATATATATGTTTTCTCTTTCTTTCTTTCTTTCTTTCTTTTTGTTTGAGATGCAGTCTCGCTCTGTCACCCAGCGTGGAGTGCAATGGCCCAATCTCAGCTCACTGCAACCTCCACCTCCTGGGTTCGAGCAATTCTCCTTCATTAGCTTCCTAAGTAGCTGGGATTACAGGTGTGCACCACCACACCCAGCTAATTTTTGCATTTTTAGTACGGACAGGGCTTTACCATGTTGGCCAGGCTGGTCTCAAACTCCTGACCTCAGATGATCCGCTCATCTTGGCCTCCCAAAGTACTGGGATTACAAGCATGACCCACTATGCCACGCCAGTATATTATATTCTAATAAGATGTTTCATCTTTGTTCAAAGGCTTAGAAGACAAGTCGTTGGCTATAAGTTATTCTAAAACCCACATTGATTTCATTGGGCAAATCGACGGATATTCAAAAAATCAAATGGGTAAAATATTTTTAGATAATCACTTAAAGTTCTGAATTATTGGTGAAAGGAAGAACACTGAGATATGACAAACTTCTTTTATTTGTCTGATATTGTTTCCCCTGCCCTAAATCACATTCCCAGCCTCCACATAGTGATCAGGATTTGCAGAACAATCATAATGACTCAGTTACAGGTCGTGGTAAGCAACCAGCTTTCCAAGTTTCACCTCTAAGAGTTTAAACAGATTTGAAAAAGAATGCTGATGCTCAAGAGCATCCAGAAGCAACTGTGATAATAATAAAATACAAAAGAAAATATATCATCACTATCAACAACAAAAATTGGGTACAAGTGGTTAGGATATATAGCATACACTAAAATAACAGCAAAAGCCCCAAAGCAAACAAGAAAAAAGATCATTCCAAAGATGAGGGAAAGTGCTTTTCGTCTTGTAGCCATAATGTCTTTGTCAGCAAAGCTTATAATTACAGATCAAAATATAATGTCCCTCATCAAGAATGCCAAAATGGGGACAAACTGCCTCTGAACACACAGAGGTTACTGGGAACCAAGAAGAAATGAAGCAGAAAATGTGGCCTGTTTCATGTTCAGGACAGTAACTGAAAACAGCTTTTGTCTCATTTGCTTCACTTCCTCCTTTTAAAAAGGCAATTATTTTCTGGCACATTTATCTGTCACTTCAATTTAACAGCATCCTGCTAAAAGAGTTGATTATATAATAATATGATATATATTTAAAAATGAGCAATATTGCTTTTATCTTCCAATTTTTAGAAAAGTCTTGTGAAATACAAAAATGGGAAGAAAATACCTTCTGTTTTGTTAACTGTCCAGTTACCTTGCTGGGCTGTGATTGGAGGTGTTACAGTCACGGCTGCCTCTTCAGTCAGTGCTGTCATTGCTGTATTAAGGGGGCAAAAGCATCTTTAACAGAGAGCCTCCTTCTATGTACAAGCAACAGATGGAAAATATTCTTATTCTGTTTATTCCTATTTCTATTTTGCTTTTAATTTATTACAGTTGAAATCCACAATGTGACTAGGGCAATATCCTTACAGTGTCTCATCCATTCCACTGACTATATTAGGATTATAGCCAATAAACACACAATTTTTAAGACTGTTAATACATTTACATACTAATTCAAAACTAAGAACACTATAGTATAGTAGCTATATGTAACAATTATTCTTCAATTGTATAAAGCAAACATTCTGGAGGTCTCAAAAAAGAGGTGTCAAAATATATTAGGAGAGGAACATACAGAACATAAAACACTAAATTAATCCACAGATTCTTTGCTCTGATCTTTATCATAAAGCAAAACTGTTAGAAGCCAACTTCTCTCTAATGTAGAGAAAATAAATCCTATTCACATTTTAGAGTTATATAAAGTTAACAAAAGGAAATCACCTACCATTGAACAAAAGATAGACTGATATTGGAACTCCCAAAGCCATTTCCTGTAGTTGCTTAACTTTCTTTCTCTTATCCTTCCAGACTGACGGGTGGAAGGTTTTTATTGAGCTCTCTGCGTCTTTGTTGCATTTATATTTCATGAAGCGTCATCTGGCAGTTCTTACCAATCAAAAAAGTATGTACTTCTGGCAGCAACAGAAAGCCTCTGGGCATTCACACACTTGTTTAGGATGCCTGTTTTATCTAGCAACCTGATCAAGTTTTTTTTTGAAATCCTGGTTTCCTGTTACCTGTGGGCATAATCATGTATGTAAAAGTACATAAAACAACAACAACAAACTGTGATTTCAGGAAAGGCATCCATTGGTGTGAAGAGAAATACACCAGCTCAAACGAGGCTAGCTATACCTATACAGGAGTCCAACAAGCATAACTGCAAATTAGGAAGCAGCATAACCTGTTTCTAAAAGAAATATCCCTGAAACTATGGATGGTTACACCAACTTTCATTACAGACTATGAGTTCCATTTCAAATCAAGATCATGTGTTAATCTAGTTGCAGAGAACAGTTAAATTTGTGAAAACACAGAGTTTTCATACTCCATTTCAGTGTTTGCTCCTGCATTTTACTGTGACAAGTGTTACAAATAAAATTATGTTTAATAGTACAACATTTACCTTTCTGCCATTTTGCTATTTAACATTTTTCTGAGTAAACAAACTGGGCTACCGTATTCCAAGAACAACAGTGCTTAAATCTGCGTCCCAATGATTAAGCTACAGAGAACCAGTAAAGTACCAAGATAATAAAATAGCAATAATAATAATATTAAAATTCTCCATTAAAAGAAAATTAAGGTGACATTTAGTTTGGATACATCTAATGAACAGAAAGTTTTTCAAGTTAATACAACATCCAAATTTTTTCTTAATGTTCATCTAGTTGTAATTATTAAAGTGACACTTTAAAGGCCAAAACATGTAATTACACCTACTATATTTTACAACTACAGACATTTTCACTTGCCCCAAATTACTATAAATAATTTATAAATATATCTTCCTGAGGCATTGAGTCTTTCTACCTGGAATTTCAATTGCTTATATTTTCTTGAAACTTGAAACCTCAAAACCCTAAAAAGATATTCAAGCCAAGATAGGTCATCTTTTGCATCATGTCCACTCAGCAAATTAGATTTACCAGAAAGGAGCCCTTTAAGTATTTGAATATAAATGTGGTGTTAGAAATCACACAAGAACGAACTTGTTGAACTCATTATAACTTGGGCAATCACTTACCACAGGAGTCATCATTTTAAAGTTAAAATAATATAATAGTACTTGACTCACTTTAAATGTGCCTACATTTTGCATTGCTACTTTTGTGGGTTTTTAAAAAACTGTTCATTACTAAGTCAATTTCTGGACAATACATTTCCCAGGCAAATAACATTTGAATTATAAGGTGAATAATCTTCTTTGCACCATTGCTGAGAATTTAAGAAGAAATCATTTACAAAAGATTAAATAAACCATCACAATTCTTTTTGTAGTTTCTGGAGGGAGATGTTGGAACTCACATTAAATACTTTATTTCTAAGACTGAGACATCGAAGTAAAAAGATCATCTTTGTAAAAACTCCTAAGTGTAACTAGGGCAGTCCTTTGCAGTTTACAGGCTTCCCTACACGTCTGAATTCTTCCTTCGGGAACCCTGGTCCAAACAAATCCAAGGCCTAACATCTAATAAATACTTAATGAATCTGTCTTCAGTGAATAAGGAAATAATTAACAGGCATTATTTCTATTCTCACATGACACATGACAAATTTTTTGAGGCTCAAAATAATTAAGTGACTTGCCAAAGTACATGCTTAGAGTCAGGACTTCAATCCTGGCCAGGTGTGGTGGCTCATATGTGTAATCTCAGCACTTTCAGAAGCTGAGGTGGGAGGATTGCTTGAGCCCGGGAGTTTGAGACCAGCCTGGACAACAGAGCAAGACCCTGACTCTACAAAAAATAAAGTAGCTGGAGATGGTGGTCTGAGTTACTTGAGAGGCAGACGCAGGAGGATCACTTGAGCCTGGGAGGTCAAGGCTGCAAATGAGCCATGATCACACCACTGCACCCTGGCCTGGGCTACAGACCTTGTCTCAAACAAAACAACAAAACAAAACAAAAGAAAAACAAAAGCAAAAAAAAGGACTCCGGTTCTATATTTTCAGATTCCAAATCATATGCTGTTTCCATTTCCCTAGTTGTGTCCTCTTGCAGGAGTTGTTGTACTGATCACAAAAGAATTCCCTTAATTATCTCCTAAAATCAAGCTTTAAATAAATTACCTTTATTAGAAAAACAAAATATTTAATAAACAATGATTTTCACTCACATCTGGGCTGAGAGATGGAACTGCAGCCTTTCTGGTAAATTGGCCCACTTAATACAGAAACCCCTCTTCCACTTTAGCTTGTGGTTTATACCAGAAAGTAACTCTAAGTCATCAAACATGCTGCCTTTCCTCTGGGGCTTATACTCATGGCTCCCACTTACAATCTTTACAGGAAAGCCACTCCCTTCACATCTTCAATCCTCTTGCCCAAAAGTCCTTTCTCCAAATCCTAAAGAATGGGGAGATGGATACTGTAAGGTGGCTTGTCTGATACCTTTATTCATTCTTAATATGCATTAAATCAGGTTAGGGTGAGAAAGAAGGAAGTGAGAGGCTAAGAGCTCCACTATTAATTTTCCCTCATGCCGCTTTTCTAGTATTTTTAATTTACTTATCTCTCACTTGTAGAAGTTTGTTCTGGAAGAGAGAATCTCTGACAGTTTACTCTTCCCTTACCTTTCGTTTTTTCCTTGCTGTTACACTAACTCAGCCACAATTTATTGCTGGTCATTGGCAGGGAATGGTGATCATTGCATTGATTATCTCTCTAAGTTTATCCTATCACTTTCATGGATTCAGTTGCATTTGTTCATTAAATATTGAATGACTACTATATCCATGACACTGGGCTCGGTGAGATGATGTTTGTAAGACAAACAGATAAATCATGTATGGATTCTGACTTCAAAGAACTAAAGGGATCCAGGCAAAGTACATACCTAACTACAGTACTAGGCAGGGAGTGATAACTGCCATGAATGTGTGCATAAAGGGCTCTGAGAGCTAAGGGCTGGTATTTTTCACGGACAAGTTTCATTTGAAGTGAATCTTAAATAACAAGTAGGAATTAGACACATATTGATAAAAGACTTGGAGGTGGGATCCGAGGGAAGGCAGAGTGGAGTAGTAAAAAGAGCGGCTTCTGACTCAATCACCCCAACAGACCTTGCTGTGAATTCATATTCCACGTTTTCTATCCATTTGGCCTTGGCTGAGGCTTTTTAATAACCAGGAGGGTCAATAATTTTCTCATCTATCAAAAGGAGATTGTCAATAATGAGGAAAGACAAAAAAAAAAATGGCACTTTGGGAGGCCAAGTAGGGAGAATCACTTGAGCCCAGGAGTTCAAGACCAGTTTAGGCAATATAGTGGGACCCCTCTTTACAAAAAATTAAAAACTTAGCTGGGCTAAGCCTCCACCTCCAAGGCTCAAGCAATCCTCCCTCAGCCTCTGGAGTAACTGGGACCGCAGGCCAGTGCCACCATGCCCAGCTAAGCTATGTATTCCTAGCTGTCTATGTTGCATTCAGAGTCAGTTCAGTCTCTTTAATCCATTGCAATAGTCTTAACATCTTGACTGTTTTAAACAAGTATCAGAGTAATTTTTCTTCTACAGTGTTTTAATTAGTTTCTGGAAAGTCTGAATTCTGAATGTTATTCCAAAGCAACCCTTCCTGCACCACTCTTGGGGTAGAGCTCAAAATTACAGTCTTCACATTTTCCACATACATGTATTTTAATAATTTTATTTGTTTTGGGAGTTAAGGATCCTTAAAAATTAAAGAGGCCATTTCTGAATGTTAGCTTGGGAGCTTTAAATTTAATCTTCTGTCAGGATTATCAGACAACAATTGGTCTGAATTGACTGTGGAATATGCTATATAACATGTTCTTTCACGTTTTAGAAACTTGTGCATTTCTCTAGGATGCAGTAAGGAAATGAGTAAGAAATTCATAGCTATCTTAAGAAAAAAGAATACAGCATTTCTTCAAGCTGCTTTTATTACACAGTTGTAATGTTATTAATTATGAACATCTAGTCTATTTTCACACAAATAGTCAAGAGTACACACTGATAAAGACATGCGCTGGGTGAGAATCATTATTTGTATATAAACATACTGGGATTTGGGCATAAAAACACAGTATCAATTAAATAGCTTTAGCAGTCTCAAAATAGACTTCCACTACATTCATAGTATTTCTTCATTTAAATTGTGTTAGAAACATGAGGAACAAACGCTATAACAAAAGAGGGAAGACATGTGGGCAAGAAACCAGGAGATTTTTAGTTGTATACTAAGGTTACATTGAAAGTATCATGTTTTCCTATGAGATTTCTGAATTTGTGAACAAACATTAACAGTTACTGTTCTTTAATATAACCTCATTCATACTATATTTGTGGGAAAACACAACCTTAGTTTTATCTGTTTACTTATTTTGGAATTTTTCCATTATTGCTCAGTGAAGGTACTATCCAAATATTTTTTAGAAGAAGAAAGAAATGACATTTAAACCTAACACATTCTTCATGTATTTTTACCGTGACAAGTAGTCATTCACAATGTGATATAATCATTACTCTTCCAAATAGTGCATTTATTACCTTCCCGAAATATTTTCCTTTCCTTAAATAGAACATAATTTCTCATTAAGATGGGTTTATATAATGCATTTGGGGGATATTTGAGATCAAGATTCTATTTTCAATATTCCATTTTTCTTGTAGTAAGCAAGCTCTTTTTCAGCACTGACTTAGATCATAAAATGTATTAAAAATGTGAGCATGCAAACAGCAAAACCTAAATTACATTTAATATGGGTGCCCATTTGGCTGACAGGACATTTGCTGAAAACATACTATATGAGATATGTGATATTTAATTGTGTCAAAAATATATTTATTATGAGCCCTTTATTGTTTTAACATTATGAACAAATATCCTCAAAATAAACAATTGTTACCAAAATTTTCATTGGAATTGTTTTGTTTTCTTTCTTAAAACTCAAAATCAATTAGCAGGAAATGCATAAAATTGTGTGAATCATTTTATCCACAATGATTCCATCAATGAAAAAATAAATACCATGTAGAAATAAATAGTTTTGTAGTAAAATATAAACATTTTACCCTTCGTCAAACAAACAAATAGCATCACTTCAGTTTGCTTTATCCTTTCATGTGATCTAGTAAATGATTTTTTTAGCTGCCAGAAGGGTGTTCTTCAGAAGCATTGCCACTGTCATGGGTCCCACACCTCCTGGAACTGGAGTGATAAAGCCAGCTTTCTTCTTAACAGCTGATGGGGGGGAAAAACAGAATATTCTTTATTTTAAAATTTATCTGAGATTTTCATATTTTAAACATGCTAATATAGTGGCTCTTTCTTCATTACACATACTAATCTTTTTTTAGAATCAAGTAGGCTGTAATAAACAGAGACACACATACACACACACACACACACACACACACACACACATGCTCACTTAGACAAATACTTCTGTGAATGACATCTAGACGGACAGAAAGACCACAATGGGCCAATACTGTAAGTTCGAGCTCCATGCAGCTCAGTTTGTTTTACATAATGAAACCTATGATTGACCCAGTAACCTGTAATTCTAGTTAATTAATTCTAAAATACACGATACTGGTTACAAAAGAGACATGGAATATAGAAAGTTCAGCAAATATCATTTATTAAATAGAATTATTCCTTTTACAACAATATCACAATGTATGTGTATATATTACAGTTCAGTTCAAGTCTAACAAATATCACTAAATATACTTGAATTAGGGATACATATACATAGTCCTGTTCAGAGGCATGAAAACTTATTCAGTGAATACAGATGGTTCCCAGCTTGCAATGGTTTGACTTATAATTTTTTGATTTTTCAACTGTGCAAAAGCAATCCAGATTCAGTGGGAACTATACTTCAAATTTTGAATCTTGACCTTTCTCTTAGCTGGTGATATGTGATACAATACTTCTCAAGATGCTGAGTAGTGGTAATAAGCCAAAGCTCCAAGTCAGCCATGAGATCAGAAAGGTGAACAACCATGATCAACCAATACTCTACAATGTACGGCATTCCAAAACGATTTGTCCAAATACAGGCTAATTTAAGTGTTCTGAGCATGTTTATGGTAGCCTAGACTAAGATATGATGTTTGGCGTATTAAATGCATTTTTGACCTAATGATGTTTTCAACTTAGGATGACTGGGATGTAATGCCACCATAAGTCATAGAGAATTGTATACTTAAAGAAAATGGCAATAACTTTCAGCAAGTTTTATTTAAGAATGTGTCAGGCTGCATGTGGTGACTCATGCCTGTAATCCCAGCACTTTGGAAGGCCGAGGCGGGTGGATCACGAGGTCAGGAGTTCAAGACCTGCCTGATCAACATGGTGAAACTCCATCTCTACTAAAAATACAAAAATTAGCTGGGTGTAGTGGCATGCGCCTGCAATCCCAGCTACTCAGAAGGCTGAGGCAGGAGAATCACTTGAACCCAGGAGGCAGAGGTTGCAGTGAGCCAAGATTGCACCACTGCACTCCAGCCTGGGTGACAGTGAGACTCCATCTCAAAAACAAACAAAACAGACAAACAAAGAAACAAACAAACACAATGTTTTCAAACCCACAGTATTAAAGGTGAATGACTTGCTGCATTCATTTACTTGATGGTTTGGTGCTTTATTGTGTGAATAAAAGCAATGAAGTTTTTCCAGATTACTGTTAGTAAAACATTAGCATACACAATATTTCTTTAATGCATAATCTGACATTATTAACCACATGCTACCTAGATGTATTGCCTTTTACAAGTTAGCTCATATAGGCTTCTACCTGAATTAAAATCAATAGATGTTGTCTGTATCTTTAGTATTATTTTTGCACAACTTATGTCACCCTTTTGAAAGATGATTTGTGAAATTTACCTTTACTTTATTTGAAGTGAATAGTACATTGGAACAATTTTTTAAATCATAGGAAAAGCAAAGGAATAATATTGCTCTGCTTGAAGAAAGGTCCAATAAGTGTAAATGCATCACAAAAAATATATAGTTAATATGTGTCATGAATTTTCTGAGGGCATGTTATAAAGAAAAGATAAGAATACTGTGATTTGGAAGGTAGTATTTCACTTTTACAAACAGCCTCTATACAGAAAGCACATCCTTTCCATTGCTACATTTCCATCTAGTGCATTCCATCCTGCAGAAACATTAGACTGGGTCAATAGCCAATCAATAAATAGCTATGAATTTTTTAGTCCTTTCTTCCTTTGCTCTAACTGTTCCTTCTACCTGGATCATTATTCCATCTTATCCAAACAAAAACTCATTATTTTCTGAAAGCCAATGAAATGTCACCTGTCTATCATTTTCCTGAAAAACTCACTCCTCCAGTGTTGAATTCAAAGGCCCACCACGGAGTGTAAATTAGTTCAACCATTGTGGAAGACAGTGTGGCGATTCCTCAAGGACCTAGAAATGGAAATTCCATTTGACCCAGCAATCCCATTACTGGGTACATACCCAAAGAATTATAAATCATTTTATTATAAAGACACATGCACACGTATGTTCATTGCAGTACTGTTTACAATAGCAAAGACCTGGAACCAACCCAAATCTCCATCGATGACAGACTGGACAAGAAAAATGTGGCACATATACACCATAGAATACTATGCAGCCATAAAAAACTATGAATTCATGTCCTTTATAGGGACATGGATGAATCTGGAAACCATCATTCTCAGCAAACTGACACAAGAACAGAAAATCAAACACCGCATGTTCTTACTCATAGGCGGGTGTTGAACAATGAGAATACATGGACACCGGGAGGGGAGCATCACATGCTGGGGTCTGTGGGGGTGGACTAGGGGAGGGACAGTGTGGGGTAGGGAGGTTGGGGTGGGATAACAGGGGGAGAAATGCCAGATATAGGTGACAGGGGGATGAAGGCAGCAAACCACATTGCCATGTATGTACCTAAGCAAAAATTCTGCATGATCTGCACATGACCCCCAAATCTAAAGTACAATAAAAAACATATATTAAAAAAAGTAAGTCCCACCATGTATATTTCCAACATTTGACACCTACCTCCATTATGGAACATAATACACTGCACTATCTCTTCCCTTAACTAGATACCAGTACCTAGAAGGCAGCAGCCAAGTCATTGTGGTTGTTGTTTTTAATCTTAGAATGTCTCCATGCACAGGTTAGGGACTCAGCAAATTTTGAGAAAGTGAACTTAAATTTCCCTTACTTAAAATCTAAAATCAATTTGCAGAAATGTGTCAGTGCTTTTGACTGGACATAAACAATATCAATTTAGTTTAAGCTAATTTACTGAAAAACTCAAGCTACTCATTTTGCTTGAGGGTGATAAACTGCATTTTCCACTTTTCAATAAGCTGACTTAATGGCCTAAAAAATGACTTCTAAGACCTTTCCTCAAGCATCGAAGAAGCAACGCCTTTAAAACGTGGCAGGTCTTTAGAAAAAACATTTACACTCCTCCTCCTCCTCCTCTTCCTCCTCCTCCTACATAGTCATATATTTGTAAAGCATTAATGTTGAAATATAATAGATAAAAATAAAATACTGCTGATTAATATGGGAAAGTAAAAATCAAGTGCTAATTGAATCTTCAATGAAAAACAAAATGATTTTTTTTCAAAATTTAAAAGTGGCATACAATTTGTTACAGGGAATATCTATTGTGGGCATAAAATTATTTTTATATAGTTTGGTCTTTACCTTTGAAAGGTAAAGTGGCTTTGATATTATTTGTCTCTGAAAAAATAGTAAAAAGCATAGGTACTATCAATTAAGTACCTATTAATTAGTTGCCAATAATTGTATGCATTGTTCTAATAATTAATATTTGATTATTTCATTTTAATAGATGAGGAAACTTTGGCTCAGTGAAGTTACAGTGACTTACCACTCTCCTATATAGTAGAGAAATTGGTCAAAGCCAGGTTAGAAATACTCTAAAATTCCATAATTTCACCCCATCCCAATGCAGCTATATGACCTGAACAAGTAGAAAAGTCCAAAGAATAGCTCAAGTGCCAGAAATTAACTCCATTTCCTCAAGGTGTTAGGAGGATATTCTAGAAAAACATAAATGAAGAGGAAAACATTCTAATAAATTGATTTTCCTACATTTTGAATATGAGTTCTCATAGCTATCATCTCTGAACTACATCTTACACTTCAAATTACACAGCTGGCTCAGTCGTTTTATTCCTGGTGTTAGATCAGATAAACCATCGGTCTGATCAGGTATCATGATCTTCCTCTTCCAAATTAAGTTTTACAGGCAACATGCTTACTATTGCATTCTTTTGCTCAGCTCAAAAGGTGAGGTTTGGGTGGAGGAGGAGGGAATGGGAATGAGATACTGCATAAAATAACATCTGCCCGAAATTTTTTAGCTCAGTGTCTGCATTTTTGCATACTTTAGTGATGGAAACCAATACACATTCACCCTGTCCTGCCTATCAGTTTTCATAGAATTAGACTATTAAGGGGTAATGGGGCTTCACCTAACATGGGCTACGGCTTCTCTGAACATCAATAAGCATTTAGTATCATCAATGGAGCCCCAAAATTACTCATGAAGCAGAAGATTATAATATCATTGTAGACACACCTGATTATTCAAATACTTGCTTCAATGTTTTTTGTTTTTGAAATAAAGTATATGGATATGAAGATAAACTTTGTACATGGTCATGAAAGGCAGAGTTATTAATTTGATTTTAGAAAACACATATTAGGTTTCTATACCTTTTGATTTGATATTCATGAGTATCTGTGTCTAAGAAAGAAATAATAAGCTTATCTGCTGCTGGCTAGTGTTAATATATTCTTTGTCTATTTACATAAGGATCAGGATATAGAAGTAAGTGATCTCTCAAAAAAGGCAGGGAGTTACTGGCAAGTGCCAGTGGGTAAAGATGTCAATGCTTAACAAAAATTCTCTATTCTAATGATTTTGCATAACTATTTCAGGGCTATCCTAAGCAACACACGTATGAAATACTGCAGGTGGCTAATTTGCTAAAATTAGTCGTATGAGAAAGAGTTAAATTTTATTTATGTTTGATGCTCTGAAAAGCATCTTCCTCAATCATATCTGAAAGAGAGCAAGGTAACAAGCATTATATCACCAGAATAACCTCTCATTGGCTAGTCTTTCCCTGAGGGCAGACAAGGGTTTGCACTTGCTTGAAGATGATGATTTTAAATACTAACCCTATTATATGTAGGGAAAAGGTGTTCTATACGCTCCATTAAAGAGAAATATGGAAGCATCATAGGAGAGCAACTTCCTTCAGCGCCTTAATTTACTGTGGGCGTAGGTGTGAGGGTGTATGCATGTCTGTTTGAGGGAATACCAGAAGTTTGATATATATGGGAATCAGGTACTAGATCCTGATTGATACCAGCCCTTTCATATGAGGTTAATTAACACGTATGGCAAAACCAGGGTTAGATTCTATTTCACAAAATCAACATGATTTTCGGCCCACTGGAACTATTTGACAATTGAGACAAATTAACAACCACCAAATCCTATTGTCTCCATGAAACTTTCTCTGGAGAACAAGACTTAGATGAAAATGACTGAGAGATGTTTAAATTACGTTCCTGAAAATAAAAATATTTTGAGGAAAGGTAATAATTGTCATAACAATTTATTTGAATTACCTCTCTGCAAACTTTAGACCCTGCAAAGTAATTCCATAGATTTCCTTGAAAGTGCTATGGCTTTGTTAGCATGATTAAGAATGTTAGGGCGTATGTTCAGCTGTACAAAAATAAGAGATTTAAAATCAGCCATTTTGGGTGTAAGATTTGCCTTTGTACATACTATCCCCTTTGTCTAACATGCCTTTCTCTCACTTCTCCAGCTGATAAATATTTATTCTTTCTTCTCAGATTCAGCATAAATGCCACTTTCTTTGTGGAGCCTATTCACTCCTCAGGCTAAGTTAACTGTTCATTCATTTATCAGCAAAACTTAGTAGAGTGATTTTCAATTTGCATTCATAGAGCATATTAGAATCTCTTGTGAGGCTAAGTCATACTGCACATGCATCCTCGCGCCCCAATATTGTACATTCTCAGTATGTACCACTGAGAATTAATGTCTGAAGTGAGAGATATTTCTAATGGTGGGAAAAGAATGTTCTACATATAAACAGGATGGAGAAGATTTAAAATCTGGTTGGAATTCATTGCTGTAGTATGGCTACTTCACATGATGGCCTCAGGTTCCCAGTCAGGTATCAGGCAAACCCCAGTGTACAAATGCTTTTCACACTTCTGCTTACATCAGAGTTGCTAATGTCCTATTGGCCAAAGCAAGGCACACTATCAAGCTGAAATTCAGACTTGGAATAAGAAGAATGGTCAAGTCACCCTGCAAAGGATACGTCCACATGAGGACAAAATAAATGTGTGGCCATTTTTTATAATCTGCTATAGTAGCCACTTGGCTCCTGGTACACCATGTCAGCCACACAATTTGATGCCAGAGTTATTCTTTAAAACACAGATTTGATTATCTCAGCTTATAAACACCTGATGGTTCTTCACTGTCTCTAGGATAAAATATAAATTCTTTGTTATGGCAATCAATGTATTTTATCTTCTGGCCTGATGTCTTTATCTTGCATCATTTTCTAGCCCTATATTCAATTAGTCACTGTTCTCACACATACAACAAACTGGACCAGATAGATTCATAACAAATGTTTCTTAAGAAAGACAGAAAGAGTTACTAAAAGCTCTTGGAGATTTTAGTCTAGTTGGGAAGATGGACATTAAAAATGCAGATGCCTAAATAATAACTAGCCTACAGCTCTGATATGTGCTACACATGAAACGTATACTGCACTGTGAAGGTATCAAGAGGATCTGAGCCTGAACAGCACTGTGTATTCATGTGGCATATCCATGCTGAGTTTTTCCAGGTGGAATAGAGACATGTAGAATAGACAGTGTCCTGTGTAGAAGAGACAATGAGATAAAGGCAGCAAGAAGCTTCCCTCAGGTGGAAAGCAGCCTGAACTATTGAAAACACTGTAAGAAGGCCAGTATGGCTGAGATGTCAGACTAAAGACAAAGTTGCAGGAGATGACATGGAAGAGGTAGCAGTGTCTGATTATGTAGAGCCTAGCAGAAAGTAACAAGCATTTTGTATATTAATTTAAGAGCAATGATGAAAGTATTTTTAACATTTTGTAAAAAAAAATGTTGAGGTAGCATAAAACCCAATGAGGAAAATGTCCTGTGTTCACACATTTCTCTAATGAAGTGAGTTTAGTATCTGGGTGGAAGGAAAGGAGATAAACACAAATATTACAAAACACAGTGAGATTCACTAAGGTGGGAATAAATCCAGGCTCTTATGGGAGTACCTCAAAGAGAAAACACAAATCACATATGGGGATTCAGGAAAGATTTGTAAAGTAGCAGAAAAGCTGCAAGATTGATGGACGCCTGAGCAGGGAAGAAAGGGAAAAAGCAGTCCAGACACAGTGAAGAGTAAAATCAAAGTTGGGCTGGATCTGACAATGAATCTAACATAACAAAGGGGCTGAAATAAGTTCATTATGACCAAAGCACATGACAAAAACAGCAAGAAGAAAGAGAGGAGGCTGAGGAGGTGGTTATGGGTTGTATGGCGTTCAAGAAACTTAGGTTGGGTGATGGTAGTATAGTTACTGTGTTCAGGGTGAATAAGCTTTTATAAGAGTCTTTTGTGAATAAACTTGGCTATTTATATATTTAGGAGTGGTCAGTTTTGCAATATGAAAAACTTATGAGAAAAACACATAGTACTAAATAATTTTCAAAGAAAACAGTAAAGGAGAAATTCATCTTGCATTTTCATAAAGTTGCATGTCACTAAATCATTACTCAAGTTATCCTCTTTCAGCTTGTCATGCTCGTCTAATCTTCTATGTTCTCTCTTCTCCACTATGTGGCTGATGACCCTCACCTCCATGTTATTGACTTCAGATTTCTAAAAGGAAGAACTAAGACTTGGCTTAACATCATTTATATTATTCTTACTTGAAGAAAACAATTTTTCAATGTCAGTATAAAAACAATAGGTATAGAGCAGAGGTTCTTTCATATTTAAAATCTGAGATGATGATAACGATGATGGAAGAAACTAAACCAGTCTATATGGACACCTCCAAAAAATCCAAGGGTAACAGAGATGACAGGGTGCAGAAAGTTTGCTTATGAAGGATACCAATAGCAACATAAGGGACACTAAAATGCCCTTTAAAAACTTAAGTAAGAATAAAATAGTATGCGGTCATTAATCTTTTGGCACCAGCAACCCATGCTTCATGACAGGGTATCTTGTCTCCACCTTGTGTGTTCTGTATTATTGAATCATTTGGAAACTTTATGTTCTCAGGTTCCTAGGGCCAGGAATTTAATAATTCAGATTCTTATTTAAGATACCTTGTGGGAATACTCTCTCCTTGGCAAATACTAAATTTCTATTTCAGTACATCATATCTACTCCAAAGGTCCCAAATAATGAAATTTCTAGATATATCTAAGCAGAATTAATTTTGCTAGTGTATTTTGAAAACTGCATATTCTGGCAAAGTTAAAGAATATATTTGTGCTCTATAAATTTATTTTTGGGGTGGAGGAAGAAGAGCTGATATCTCATGTTCCTATAATTTTTATTTGTCATTTGTGTTATTTTATTTGTCATTCTATCTCCTGATTCATTGTCTCTTTTAAAGAATTACTCTATCTCATGTCAGTTCTCCACAGTGCTATAATTACTTTTTAAAATCAACTCCCTCCCCTAAAAGGAAGAATTATGATTCCTTTATCCGTGGCAAGGCAGCAGAATAAAAAATTTCTTGCTTCTCTCATGTGAATTTCATCTTCCTAGTATACATATGTAATTGTCTAAATTAAATGCTTGAAGAATTTTCCCATGCTTCTAAATGCAAGCCACTTAAGCATGGCCTCTCAAACATATCCACTCTAATGAAGGGGAGACAAGCTTCAGGAAAATGAAGTACAGGAATAACAACCAGAAAAACCTGAATGACATAGGACTGGAGAAATAATATGACTCAGGAGATAATATAGAACACACTCCACTTTCTCATATGGTTGATATAAAAATGACACTTAAGAGCATGGTGAACTAGAGAGCAAATGATTTCTTAAGTCAGTGGCTTGCCATTGAACTTGGAAGGCATCCAAGAATCAAGTGCTCCAGAGGCAATTTACTATATTTCTTCTTACATTCATCTGGTTGCTGAATCTTGAGGTTTCCGCATGTTTTCTAGATATATTGAGGTGTTCATTATCATGGCATCCTGTGAGCAGTAATGTGACAGAGAAGATTATTGCCCTAATTTGGTAGAAATGTATGAGACTGATCTATATTTCTATACAAATAGTGTTGACTTCAATACTTTGGTAAGCTGCACTTACAAGGACTTTTCTCACCTATTTACTATGCAATTTGTATTTGTAGGGTGGCTGAGATTTATTTTCTTTCATGTTAAACTAAATCTCTATATATCTGGTAATAGATGTAAATTTCTAAAAAACGCCACTCATACCACTTAGAAGACAATTAGTGGAACCACATAGCAAATCAATCACCTGGAGAAAATTTAAAGTTGATTTCTGTGAACTCTAGCTATGATCTATCAGTGGAACCTTCTTTCTGGCCATGGATGTTATCAGCTGCCATTTCCAGATTCCATTTTAATGGGCAGGAGTAGCAATACTGCTATATTTCTGGTAATTCTATTGATGGCTGAGAAAATTACTAAAAATGTCTCCCTTTCATGATGTCTTTAGAAATACAGGATCATCATACACTTTTGTCATCCTTTCCGATCCTTCCCCTCCCCCATCCCTTTTTTCCCCAAGCCACTAAACATTCCTATCAGAGTGGCAAATCTGTAAACTAGATAAAACTTTCTAGAGTATCCTCCAAATCTCTTGGTGGGGCCTTAATCTCATTAGTCTGCCATAATCAACCCAAGACAGGAGCACATAAAATCTCTTTTCCATAGATATTTATGCTGTAATATTAATATGGAGCACTGAGAAACAACTGTAAAAAAAAAACCAAAAACTCATCACAGTGCAAGTAAAGAAGAAAGCCTTGCAAAGATACTTCACTTGTTTCTGCGAATGTATTTTTTTTGTGTCTCAACTTTAATTCTTGTCTATGAAGGTAGATGATTCAATGTCAAATTCATTCTGCTAAACAGAAGTCTCTGGAAGTTGACTTGATTTCAAAGACCTAGACTTCACAGTAACCATTCTGTCCATGTTGTAAGCCACAATGGAGGCAGTTGGCTCACTGATCATAGGAATCTCCTAGTGACTATCAGTGGTTCTGCCTGTTTCGTGAAATGATCTGTGTGGGTTCCATGATCACAGTGTTGAACAGTCTCTCAGAAAGACTTTGATAATATTCCTCAACTTTTCTAAGTGATTGGAACAAATTACCTCTGGGTTAAAGTTTTAGATCTTCTCTTAGAGTAAAAACTGGAGCTTTGAACTACTTTATAATTATCTACCACAAAATGTAGATATTTTGAATCAGACTAATAAGCCATATCGTCGAATTAAATGACTGACCTTGAAAACTGAGGTGGTTGAGAGTCACATTAATTTGGTTCTTTGCAATCTCAGATTAATAGTTTTGTAAAAGCGATACAGTTAAAAACCAGCCCTGTTTACTTAGAAACTGGTTATATACACTTATTTTCCCACGTTGTGGAACATGCAGTTGGGAATAAGCAGTGCAAAAACCACTTTCCAAATAAGCTTACTTTGCATAATCTGGAAAACATAAATTCCAGGTATTTTTTTTATTGTGTGCATGGATATACCCAGGACCTCACATAATGCCTAGTATGAAACAGCACTCACAAAATATGTGTTGAGTAAATCAGTGAATGAATCAATGGATATATCATTAATGGATATGTGTTGTTGAATTAATAATGTATTTGCTGCTACTTTGCATGACAGCTTTTGTTCCCATTAAGTTAACTTGAGGAAAGTATTTCTGCAATGTAAGAATGACAGTACAGGTTTTTAAGTACAGAGAATGTTGGTACAAATAACCAGTGGTCTGAATAAGAAGGCTGAAATCTGTTGTAGAACAGAGATATAAATACCTGATGTAGATGGCAGGTTGATGGGTGCAGCAAACCACCATGGCATGTGTATACCTATGTAACAAACCTGCACATTCTGCACATGTACCCCAGAACTTAAAGTATAATAATAATAATAAAAAGAAATGTAAGATAGGAAGCCAACCTTACAGAGCCATCCAATCTAGTTGGGAACAACTAAGTAAAAGTGCAAGGCAGTACAGGATTAAGAGCAAAATGAGTGAGGCAGATGAAACTTGCAATGAGAGTCTGGAGAAGATGGGAATAAGTATGAGTGCTTTAAAGTTGATTGATTTGAGAGTTGGGCAAAGAACAGACTACACTGGAAGAGAGTTTAGGCCAGAAAAGTAATGAGGAAGATGGTGGTAATTGAAGTGTGACGTTGTATACTTCTGGATTAGTAGTTCAGTGGGAATGGAGAGAAAATGTGAGCGTGTGCATGCACGTGCGTGCACACACACACACACACACACACACACACACACACACACAGTTTTTGACCAGGCGTTATGCTTGGCAATTTACCTACATTAACTAGCTTATGTAAGGTGATTATTTCATTTAATCTTCACAACAACTTTGTAAGATAGAAATTATTATCACAATTTTTCAGATGATATAATTGAGTTTCAGAGCGGTGAAATGATTTACCTAAGACCATAATTGTTTTAAGCAGCAGAGTTGGGGTTCAAACCCAAATCATCTTGACTACAAAGCATAGTCTTTTATGAAAAGTTGGACGTAATACAAAAAGGGTAGGGAGTGAAAGATAAATCCAAACTTTCAAACGCAGAGCATTAAAAGAAAACATAGACAGAAAGCTGCTTCTAAAACACTCTGGGGTTTTCACCCCATCTCTAGTAGTTTCTTATGAGAAACTTCTATGTAATTCCAAATAACTTCTATGTAATTCCAAACCCCTTCCTGACCCTATGTTTGACTATTGGGTTAGAATTTTCAGGAATGGTTTGATCAGATGGAGTCTCAAATTAAAAGATCCCTTTATAATAAAGGGGAGATTTCCTGCCCAGTGGAGATTCCTTTGGAAAATTAAAAATAAGGCACGAGATATCTGGGGCAAATTCACCATTGTATACAATATAATACTTCCCTCTTTCAACAGACCATGTTGGGCCTGCTATTGAACACCTAAGGCCTTTTGTAATGTTTCCTCCTTTCCTTTGATTCTCTATTACCTCTACCAGGAAAGAGCCCCTTCCTCCCTTTTGCCCATTTGCTACCCTAAATACACATATTTGCATAAAATTCATTGCACCTTTAAGATTCATCTCAAGAGGATTTCAGAACTGATACCTCCACTCTTGGTTATTCCAAAATCCTTACAGTCATACTTAATTGATTCTTCCATTTCACTCATATCTAATTGTTTAACCAATCATCCCAACTCTCCTTTTAAATTATATCTACCATCTAAACACCTCCCAACATCTTCATCCATTACAACCTGGTCCATGCCCCATCATTTCTTACTTGGATAATTACTATAGCCTCTTAACAGGTATCCCTATTTATACTCTTACCTCTATATGGCTTATGTGTCATTCAGTAGCCAGAGTGACAATGTTAAAATACAAGTCGAATGTCATTTCTTTGCCCCAAATCCTCCAATGGATTTCCACTGCATTAGAGTAAAATCCAATTATACTTCCTTGGTCTATCAGATGCGAAATTATGTGGCACCACTGCTACTACCTCTTTGACTTTATTCCCTATCACTCATTCCCTGACTTACTGTTCCAGTTACAGCAGTCCCCTTGCAGCTCATAAAAACACAAAGCAGGCTCCCCTCAAGGTCTTTGCATTTGCTTCTCCACTTGCCTGGAATGCTGCTCCCTCATTTTCCACGATTCCCTTCTTCATTTGTTCAGGTTAGCATGAGCCTTCCCTGACCACCCTTTCTAAGAAACTCCATGCCGTTATTCTCTAGCTATCTTATATTGTTTTATTTTTGTATCACTAAGACACTACCTTGTTACATAGATATGTATATATTTGTTGGTTATCTGTCTCCTCTAATCAGAATATAAGCTACTGGTAGGTAAGTACTTTGTCTCTTTAGGTCACTGTTGTATCTCAAGTGCCTATAAAAATGCCTGACACATAGCAGAATAAGTATTGAACAACTGAATGAATTTAATTTGAATAATCTGAAGAGCTATACTAAAAACAGTAATAATCAAGAGACTGAAAATAATCCATTGAAGATAGAGAGATATTAAAAAAAAATGAAAGTCACAAAGGGACCTGACACAATTTTCAAAACTGCATAACATGTTCAAAAAGTATCTAATATCTGTCAATGATTGAATAATTAACAGCTTACTTAGAATTAAAGATATTTAGGTGAGGTTGTACTACCTGCACAAATTTTATTGAAAATCTGTGTATCTAAGATCCATGGAAATCTCAGGGTAAGATGTGAGCCAAGATATGATTTCAGTGACACCAAAACCCCAGAAAAAAGTGAATAAGGGGAGCATGCTTTGAAACCAATTAGAAAGCAATCAGACAATGATGAGATTGTCCCTTGAGGTATTCAGAACCTAATGAATTTAGGATGGGCAAGGTGAATGATATGTGGATGTTGGATAAATAAATATCTTTCTTTTCTTTCCTAAGTAAGGGATTAGTCTTCAAGTTCTTATGTAAAGGGTAGGTTATTATTCACCCAAGAATGGCCTCCCATTCAGAAACCATGGATTCCACATCCCTGGACTCTGAATGTGAGGCCATACTCCACACATGATTACGTTTGGTTCTGCAGAAAGCTAGCAGACATGATGCATACACTTCTAGTTCAATTTTATTAGAGATGGATTTTCTTGTTCTGAGCTGTCTCACTTTCCCTTAGAAGAGAACATAAATAAAGAGGCAATTCAACTTCAACTATGTGAATAAGGACAACACTCAGATGGAAAGGTGTTATGGGATGAATTGTATCCCTCTAAATTCAGATGTTGAAGTCTTAACCCCAATACCTCAGAATGTGACTGTTTTGAGAGACAGGGTCTTTAAAAATAACATTAAGTTGAAATGAGTTTATTAGCATAGGGTCTAATCCAACCTTCTAAGAAGAGGAAATTTGAACATGAACACATAGAGAGGGAAGATGATAGGAAAACACAGAAAGAAAATGGCTGTCTACCCGT